GCCAAGAAACAAAGTAGGTGGTACGCCAAGAAACAAAGTGTATATTTAACTATTAAATTCGAAAATTAAAACCCCAACATCTTGATTGAGTTTTTTTCTCTAACCCTCGTCAATTTACGCGATCTGAGCTTTGTTCAACAGTTGTGGTATTAGTAGTACTTTATAGTTGGTGGTACTAAAGGTTTTTAATTTTTGTTTAATTGGTACGCGTTAGTCAAAAGGTTGAGAACCGCTGCTCTAGAGTACATGTGCATTCTTCTAGATCGGTAGCAACTTCTCGAAATAAACTGTGAAACTGTTCGACCTCAAGCAAACACTGAAGGCCCAGATGAAGAAAAGTGGAATAATTTATGCAAATAATTATTCATCATGAATATTAAAGACTGGAGAAATACCTTTTTTATGAAGATATTCTTATTGTCTAGGGCTGATACTCACATTAAATGTGGAAGTAATGTAGAATCATATCAAAATACATATGCTATATTTTAAGACACCAACAAAAATATTTAAAGATTCTTCTTTTGTTATTGCTAAAAGACCTCTTGTATAAAAAACTTTGAAATGTCTTATTCAGAATACTTACTTTGAAAACAAGACTATTATATTATAACAGATACGAATAACACTGTGTTATATAACCGAGGACAACAGGCAACGTTGGCGTTTATATTTTGAGACAAAAAAATTGGTTGATGCTTGTTCTTCGAAATAAATAAAAATAAGGCAAAAGTTTGGAAAGAACTAACCTAAAAAGTTAAGTATTTTGAGTTCTTTTCGTTATAGGACAACAAGCGCCAAGCAGTTTTAGGATTCATAACTTTTCTGTAGTCGAAATTAGTTTATATTATTTTCTTGCTGAAGTACCAGATTGACACATACTATATCTTTTCAGATGAAATTGTTTAGCGTTATGTGTTGCATTACTATAACAGAAAGAATACTAAAGCGATTCCTTGAAAAGAGATTGCAAAACACAAAGGCATGCTTCGTATGAGCTTCTGAGGTGCAGCTAGTCAGCATATCCGGTTGATTATTAGGAAATCTCAGTTTCGATTCCGAATAAAGGATACAGTGGCATTTATTAAGATTTCTATTTATTAAGATTCCGAATAAAGGATGCAGTGGCATTTATTAAGATTTCTACTTCTATGTTCAAAATTGGCACCCGAATTAAAAATAATGAATAATAATTTGTCATCACCTTGTACAAATTGTTTGGGAGTTGTTTCTCCTCCTATTCATGCCTTAGATCACAGTTTTCATACCTTTTTTGCTTCACTGCTTCTTTTTGAGAATATTTTTGCTCAAATCCTCCTTGGAAATTCTTCAGCGTCTTCTACTCTTGCGAACTTTCAGTATCATCTGAAGGCGAATCACTGAATACGAATTGAAGTTTTTAGATAATTATTCCGTTTGCATTGAATCAAATTATCAATGAAAACCCATCTCGAAATACAGAAACAGAATTATAATTATTAAGTACTTTTAAAGCTTTTATTTTAACAATGACCCTTATAAATTATGCATAGATTCCTTCCACTGTCTGTGTGATTATGGACTAGAAAAAGGTGAAAATAGCCTTGCAGTGAATTATTGTGTTTGAGCTACACTTTCTTATTATAATTTCTTATACGATTTCCCAACATAATCACCCTCCGTATCAATGCACTTAGGTTACTATCACTCGTCCATTTGTTTCAGATGACCAATTTTTCACAGAATTTTTATGCCTAATTTACCAATACAAGAAGCACGACTTTTTCTTCCTTTCGCAAAAAAAATTTAAGCTATCTATTTTCAACCAATCAGTTTTCAGCATCGAATCCATAACCATCATTATAATAGAGAACCAATTTTTCTTTTACATGGTGACTCCAAAGGGATCTCTGGTGATTGGCTGTTTTATAACATGTCAGAAAGCAGAAACATTACACTAAATAGTTGTTCTTCCAAAATGTTTTGAATGTGCAATACGCTTTTTTTTTTTTTTTTTTCTTTCTGCCTTTAGTTTGATTATAGTCAACTTATGGAAAGATTTAGTTTGAGCCTCCAACTAAACGACCTCCTAAATGACACGATCATCCATGTTCATTAATTTAAGTTAGATTAGGTTAGGTTATTTGAATTTAGCATAGCACACAGAGGTTATCTGCCTAAGGAGGGCTCGGGGAGATTTTTATAAGGGAAACGGGTTCGAATTCACGTTACACATGGGAAAAACCATAAAAATAAACCATGCAACCAAACCCTTCGCCTGGGTTCGAACCATGAACGAACTATCACTATTCAGCAGTCTTCAACCACTCGGCCACTGGTGAGGCCTATCCATACTATCTGTACTACCTTCGACATGAATTTGTAATTGCATGAAACAGATGAAAATCGGACGGGTCCAGGACAAAAAGGCGAATTCGGTAGTTCTGGGAAACCATAATCGACAGCTTGTAAATCTGCGACTCGATGAGGAAATTCATTGTCTTAAGACAAAAATGTTTTACATGTGCAGAATGACTCTCAGTTTCTTGATGCACAATTTCTCAGTTTTGTTTTTCACTCTACAATCTCTTAGTTACTAAATCAGGTATGATATATCCCTTTAACCAGCTTTGAAAGTAATATTTTTCATCACCAGCCAAATTTAAAACTTCTTTTTCCTTTTTCATATTTTAAATTCTCCTTCTTTTTAATCGGCCCACCAGCGGCCGAGCGGTAAAGTCGCTGAACACTGGTAGTTCGGTCCGAGGTTCGAATCCCGCGAACGGGCTGGCTGCATGGGCGTTTTCGTGGTTTTCCCCATGTGTAACGTGTATACGGGCCAGTTTCCCTTAGAAAGTCCTCCACGAAGGCATCCCTCATCTTAGGCAGATAGCCCTCGAGGCTTTGCCATAATCACACACACACACACCCTTCTTTTTAATCCTCGGGTAAAGTTCCTGGGGATATAAGTCGAACCGACCCTTTGTTCATGGACAGTTCTTGATAAATGATGTGCCGACAGAATTTATTATACATTTAATCGAGATCTGAAAATGTTCTCAGTCACTCTTTTCACAGTCATTAGACAATTGTGGCCATAGCGTTGATGTTTTCCTGTGTTGATGCCGTCACCGGCAGTTTTTCTCTTGGTTTTTCCAAAATGTTTTACGTTTGCGTTTTAAATAATAACCCACCATTTAACAGTTTCAAATGATACAGATTTTTTTCCTATCGTCTAATGTATGTCTTTATAAATTCCAGTTGCACAGAGGCCTTTTCAACAGCAATTATCGAATCACTGGTTTGTCAAACACTCTCTCGCATTCCATTCATTTTCTTCTTGGGGAGGAAACATTTCTCAAAGAGCTCTCTAGTTTAACATCTTACAACATTTTTACTACCAGGCAGCATTTCTTCCGAATGAGGTTTCAGACTTTTCCTACTTGCTACATATATTAAAACATCTTACTACCTACGTCTGTTAAATGCTGTAATAAATATAGACTTGTACCACATTCGAAGCTCAGTGCTATAAAGACCATTTGTTATAGGGACCACTTCATTTCAGAGACCGGCACAAAAATTTCACAGCTTCTTGAGAGCATGTTAGAGCATCAGTTATAGAATTTTAAACTGTTAGTTTATATTTATTTTCCCCTTCCTTAAAATAATCGAATTTAGAACTTAAAATAAAATTTAAGAAGTATCAACTGAAATGATTTGGTATAATTCTTATAAATATACTTAAAAAATATTCAAGCACTTGAAATATTCCAAGCGTGTATTAACTGCTTATTTGCTTCCTAATGCAATAATGCCCCCTAAATTTCCTTACTGTTAACTGTATCGCCCATGTTGGGAAACGGTGATTTTTACTTTGAGAAAAAACTTCCATGTTCCATGGAAGTAAAACATTTACTTCCTATGCGAAGTTGTGGTGTACTGGTTAGCAAAGCAAGTATATCACTCTGAGACTCAAGTAAAGTATCACTGCACTTTTTGAAAAGTTCTAAACGATGCTTTAGACGATGGGGGAAAATGATAGGAAACAATATCTGCATGTAGTTGTGGTGTAATGGTTAGCAAGCGAGCTTCTGTTTTCCAAATGAATTACTGCATTTTTTCCAAAATTCTTATTTAATAACAGTGATTGAGTGATAAGACAACTGAAGACTGGTCGTTCCATCTGAGTTCGAATTTCGGTGAACAGATTGCCTATATGGAAGTGTTCCGTGTTTGCCTAGTGTGTAACATGAATACGAGGCAGTTTTCCTCAGAAAATCCTTCTCGAAGGCATTCTTTCATCTAAACCAATAGTTCTCGTAGGCTTTTTTCTGTATTTATGAAAACCAAATTAAAGTTAAAAATTGTGGAGACTAAAAGAAACCAAGAAATCGGGGATTCAACAACAGCTGTGTTTGTTATTTAGCAAACATTGTAAAGGCTTCAATTTTAGAATCTTAATTATTATTAGCATGTAATATAAAAATGCCATTTTTTTCCTACTTCTTCCTCTTCTCATATGAATAACTATTCTTTCCTATCAACATCTTATTGAATTGCCATGTCTAAAATAATGGTAATTCATTGATTCCTTTACATGAAATTGGAAATAATCACCCCCAAAACAGCAAAAAGTTGAAACAAAGTGCTCCAATTATGTCGGTTACCTAAGAACAGCAATAACAACAACCACGATACACCTGTGGCTAATGTCCAATAGCGTAGCGTGTGATCTGTGACGCCATATCTCATATGACGTCACGCAGAAAAAAAAAGAGCGAAAAAGCTATGTTGGACCACATCGTCCACTGTAAACAAAAGATGTTATCCGATGTTACACATTCCATACCACTTGATTTTCTTATTTTCTGCTTTTTCCGAGAAAGGAAGATAAAACGTTTTTATAAAGGTGGTAGTGGGGGTGAACTGAAGAGTTGAATTACATGTGCGCAACTGCGCGAGCGAACCCCTTGAGGTGGTAGGGAAGGGGGTGCGCAAGAAGCGAGCGCGCCGGGTAGAACCGCCGGGAAACGCGGCCTCTGTTGGATGCAAATCCTCGAGGAGATTCCATCCTCACTGGCAAGTCTACTCTGTCTCACCAGCACCGGCGAAGGCGAGAGCGTCTCCGCCGGCCGCTGCTCGATAATCCGTCGTCGCCGCCGCCACCTTCGCTGGCCGGTCGACATCATCGAGCTACTTTGTCGTATTTATTCCGTCGAAGTGACATGTCGAGAAGAAAACAGGCTAAACCACGCGCTCTCAAAAGTGAGTGGGATATTTTTTTTTTATTCAACAATTTTTACCTTCTTTTTTTTTTCCCCTTCCCTTTCGTTTCCTATTTTTTTATTCTTTTCTTATTTTTTGCTGATAATTACAGACACGCCTTGCCTTTTGCAAGGAATATGTTCAACTCCCTTTTTTCCTCCCAGGAATTTTGGAAATAAGTCTTTGTTACGAAAAAGGGATAGGTTCCGTTGGGTTTCAGATATTGTTGTTAAGAACACGTTGAGAGTTTAAAATCACTGTGCATTGCAAATAACAAACTATCACTTACTTTACCACTGCGGTTTATTTCAGAGCAGCAACTTCTAAATTACTGAAATTTTTCTCCAACGACAGCTAGAAAAGCCCGCCCACATTTTCATACGTTGGATAAGACTTTATTAGGAGTACGCAATGGGATTTTCCTAATGTCGTATGCAGTTAAACTTGCGTTCGAAAGTGCATACGCTTTCTACATCAGAGTTGTGCTATAAAAAATTCCTGTTGTTACTTCAGACATCAACGATCACATTTGTGAGCTGGCTGCAGTCGCAAGCAAATTGATACGATTTCCGCAACAGTGCAGTTATTTACAGTATCATAATTACATTCAGCGCCCATTGACTTTCATGTTTCAGACTGATAATATTAGCAGGAACAACATGCTTGAACTTATTTTGAAAAATTAATCGAAATTCGTTATTTCGTTAATACTAATTTATAGACAAACTTTCTTCCCTACCAGGGGAGTTTTAACGATTTGCTTGTTCCTTTAAAGTTCCCACCAGCGGTCTAGTGGTTAAAACCACTGAATGCTGATAGATCGACTCAAGTTCCATCCTAGGCGATCGTACTGTCTGCATTGTTGGCTTTATCGGTTTTTTTTTTCTTGTAAAACGTGACTACAATACTTTTGTTTACAAAGGTGCGTCCCTCTATCTCGGCAGATAGACCTAGTATGCTTTGCTATATTCACATAACCGAAACTTTCTTTTTTAAAATTTCTTATCTCTAGCAATATACGATATATACTCTAGTTCAAAGTTTCAGAGCGATCCAAACATTTTACTTGCTTCCGTTTTGAGTGTATTTCTTGAGCAGTACGTCCATAGTAGCTGTGATTTGACCTTAATAAATTACTTAAGCTACGTTTCGGGTGATCATGTGATCTTTTTTGTTTTCTTCTGTCTCTTCCTGTTTCTATTCTATTTAACAATCATGCCTAAAAGATGGTATTTCTATTCATTAAGTCAATGGCTCTCGATAATAATTGACAAATTGTCCTCTTTGGGGGAGGGTCTAAATTATGAATGTGCGGGTAAGTGTTTCAAGGAGTTTTGTGTTTCAATGAAACAACAACATTGGCAGTCGGTCAATTATGTAATTTTGTTTTTTCTTATCTCTATCTTACATGCGCTGTAGATTAGAGATAAAAATATAATTTCTAATATAACTAAAATAAAATAATTCCTTTGCATGAATTACTGAAATACGGTATTTCTTTTGCTTAATTCAAAATTTGTTAATAATAATTGGGCAACCATCCCTTTGGAGGCAGAGGTCTGAGTTATAAAGAAGAGGGTGGGCAAGGGGCTCAGAGTACTAAGTATCAAGGAATGGGCAAGGGGCATAAGATTTCAATGAACCAGAAATATTGGCAGTAAGATTACACCTAACAACAGAATTATAATGAAATAAAATGATTTTTTTTAAAATTACATAATTTTAAGAAAATGCATAAAAAAGTTAAAGAAAACACAATTTTACCATCATAATATTCTTGGTAATATGTGACCAAAAATATAATCGTGAAGCTGTGGCAATAATTTTAAATCAAAATTATGGAAGAAAAACTTAGTGAATATAATCATTCTTATATATATCGAATTTGTACCCTCTCATCTGTTCTTTTAATTTATGTTAATGTTTATTAAGTTTCGCAAATAGAAGATCCATGATATTATTTTTTTACATATGGAAAAGAATTTTAAGATAACTATTTTTTTCTTTTTTAAAGGGCATTTAATTAAAATTTTAATCTAATATATATTTTGCATATTTTGTTTTATCTGTTTCAGTCTATAAAATTCGGAAAAGTAATGAAGAAATAAAACATTTGTCTTTGAACAATAGGAATATCCTTTCTAATCAGTGAAGCAATGTAAAACACATGACGTCATCTTTATTCCAAGGCCTTCCATTCTACTCAATGAATAAATCTATATTCAGTTCATTTAAATTTTTATTGCTTCTGAAATGCGATTTCATTATCACTTACAACCATGGAGCTGCTAACAATAAACAATTAAATTTTTTGATTTAAAATGACTCAGTGGCAACGAACGATAACTGAGAAAAGAAAATATATAAAATATATATATATGTATGAAAACACAAAAAAACATTATTTACAAGTTTTCCAAACCCATTATTTGGAGTTTTCAAATTTTGGTTGTTTTCAAATTGTCGGATAATGTAAAGATTGAAATTCTGCGATTTCAAATAATTATGTATCTTATTTATAATCGTATCTTTATTTAATGGTTAAATAAATTATTTGACCATTTAATAAAGATACGAAAGAAGACAAAAAACGTAACTGAAAACAAAATATACGCCACACTTTGAAAACATTTCTGATGTGCATTGTAGTGTTATCGCAAATACACAAATACCTCCTACAGACCCTTATTTTCTTAATTAACAATTTCAAGAAAATCGGGTCTGTAGAAGAAGATAAAAAAATGATTTTCAAAATTTGATGCAGACAACCAAATAAAGAGCAAAATCAAATTCAGAGAAACTGCGTAATAAGACTGTACCTAATCTATTCAGCAACTTCAAATCATTGAAAGTATTTAAGTATTAGCGCAACCACCTTGGGACAATTTCGCGTTTTTTTACAAATGAAAAGGTCATTCTGTGAACTTTCGGATTGTAATTTAAAACCCTCTGAGCGTTATGACCGGCTTTATCTGGTCGGCAGAAGTTTTGCTACTTGGCTAATATTAGCTTATAATTTAAGAAATTTTGCTTTCTTACTTTCTTTAATAATGCAAATATCATTTCTTACTTTCTTAATGATTGTAAGTTTATGAAAATACAGACTAAAATAAGTAATTAATAAATGCATTTTAAATACCAGTCTTCGTGATGGATCTAAAATCCTGCGCCGCTCAGAGGGTTAATAACGAATATGATTACTTAAAGTATTGTTATGAGCATGGTTGCTAGAGTTTGGCGACTTCAACTAAGGTGGCTCTGATATTATGTAAGTATCTCTCATTGCATGCAGAAAGATACTTTACATTTTTACTCCTAAATAATGCCCTCCTAATAGGGCACCTAATAGGCGGGCCACCATCGCCTCCTATGAAGGGACGGACAGTTACAACCATGGCTTCTCCGGGATTCGAACCCCTCGGTGACTTCCCTAACCACTATACCGTCTGGTCGGCTCTATCAACAAATATTAATCCTAGTATTAATAAGCTGCTACTTTTCCAAAACGTTCAGCCATCCCACTGATTAAATATTTAAATATATTAAATATATTTAAATATATTTAAATATTTAAGAATTACTGTATTATTATTATTTTAGCACTATATAATAATATACATAAATATTTTTTATTATCAAGAAATAAAAACATTTTGCGACTAAAATATGTAAATAAATAAATTTAATCTTTGTTTAATAATCATAATAATATTTTAATGAAAAATGTAATCTTAATTAATATATGTATATGTGTATATAGTAAGAAAGAATAGGAGTTTGTACAAAAACGTCAACTTGGATAAAGTGTGGTGATACAAAAATGTATGAGAAACAAGTGATTTAAGTTATAAAAATAAATTAAAAGAAATATGGGATACTTTAATGTCCAGTATTTATTATATAAGAGAAAGACTAAATAGCTAGAAATTAGAAAGGGTGAAGATAAGATTTACGTAAATGAGAAAGACAGTAGCATAGATTTAGTATAAAGTGATAATATAGAAACAATAACTGTACTTAACGCATTATCGTAACCACCTTAGTCGAAGTCTGAAGTTTCAGAAAACTTCAAACACTGTTAACCGCGTATAACGATTATTCAAACAACCAAATGCATGAAAATTATTCAGTTTCCAACATTGCCATTTTCATATGCGTTCTTTTTGTTGTATTTCAAATTCCAACGGATTTTATAGAAAAATTATGATTACTTTTTGCTTAAACACGATTTTAAAATTCGTGCTTGTGGAATTTTCCTATAACAGAAGAAACAGATATGAAAGTTTTGAGGAAATGCATTACTTTGCAGCAAAATCGATAAAGGAATAGTGGTTTGAATCGTTTCTAAATAGGTTTACTAATTGTTTGAGATAAATATATAGTTGAAACTTAAATATGCATGTAATTTTTTATAATAAAGTATGTATAATTTTTTAGAATAAAACTAATTGTTCTTTTTTTTTTCCGTAACTTTAGCCAAAGTGGTTGATGAAAGTGAAGTATCTTTCTTACTGGGAGATGTAAAATAGCCAGGTGAAAAAAATATTTCATCGGAGAACGTTAAAATCTAATAATATTGCTATCTTCTCATCATAATATACGTGCCTTAGTAATTCCTGTATATTTTCCTGTATGCTTTAGCGCGTTGTAAGCCTTTTATTGTAATATGTAATTTGAAATATCATCTAGGAAATGGTTATGCAGTCATAACGCTACGAAGATAAAGCATATATTTTTGTCGATAGATCTATCATTACGTCTTAAAATATTTCAGTATTTAAGTATTACTCCGTCTACCGTCAAAGTTGGTTACCATTGAACTACAAAATCTTGCGGTGACCTCGCCAAAGTTGCACTAATCGTTGTTATGAATTTTGAAAGAACTAATGCCTCTTTATTTAATAATCAATCAGTGTTCGACTTGCTTCGTTTCAGTCCTTAGTGGAAAGGCCTTTTGTCGATTTCTTTGTTAAGATATCGGATTTTACCGGAAGTTCTGT